CTCATATGTATATAGACAATCTGGGCACCTATATTTATATCCTGAACAGGATATATTAAGTTATACACATCTCCGCCGGTCTGTCTATATATACGCGAACTAGTCTCGCAATTTTTGAGATATCTTTTCTCCCAAAGAAGCCGCATATTTGTTGGTACCGCCGATATCGGATCACTATAGTATATAGCTTCTATACAAGTTGAAGGACCAAAAGTCCCTGTGTGGAAACTTTTTTATTTGGCAAGATATTTTCACGAAATTAATCATGTATTACTGTTCAAGGCAATACCGAAATTTCAAAATAAGTTTTTCACATCGGACCACTATAGCATATAGTCACTGATCAATCAAAATCTAGTTCTTGTATGGAAGTTTTTGTATTTGTGGAGGGTATTATAACTTCGATGCCTTCTTACCTGTTGAATACCTTGTAAATCTACCAGGTTTCAAGACGCGTTATTAAGTTAGATAAACGCTTTCGTATAAATATCTGAAAATGGAATCTCTTGCCTTTGACTCAATAATTATATAAATAAGGTTTACGACAGTTTCTTCACATTACACATCATGTTTTTTTGTTGTGAGTGTTCTACAAGAAAATACATTGATTTGTGACATCATAGACGAAAGTAGGGGAAAGCGTTGTTTGCAATTACTACTAAAGTTTGACAGTTCGTTTGGCTTATGTGGGGTGTACCAGTCCTCTTTTTATTTCTTATATTCTTATTTACGCCCCTCTATTGAAAGCATTATCATACATTTTGGGTTAGAAACCTTACGCATATAAGTTATAACCGGGCTCTCGTTTTGCTTCCCGGTTTTCGCGCCAACAAATCTACTTCTGAGTAACTTATGCATGTGCATATTGACATTAAGTCACCAATGAACGCTCCTGGCAGCTGGCGTAACCGGAAAAGCTGCATTGTGGTCTTATATGAGCGGACACAGAATGTGGTTCGCGGGAATAGATGACGTATGTGTAAGTAGTATTAGTCATTGGAGCCCACACGCAGTGACGATAATTCACTTCGATTTTTATGGCATTTTCCGCTTTTCATTACTGTTGTTTTATGGTAAAACGCAATATTGAGGCAGCTACGCTTTTGTCACTGATTTTCCCGTGTCTCTTTGTGAGTTTTCTATTTTGCGGTTTATCATTATTTATTTGGATAGTTTCATTGGTCTGTTTGTCTTAAGTAGTAGTGTAGTTATACAAAAACACACATGCGAATTTACAAGCATTTGCCGAACGCAACTGGGTCGTACGATTTGGTGTCAGTGGGGCGCACAATTAGCATTTGCCACTGGTGGCTTTCGCAATTTACCGAATTTACGAACTGACGTACTTGTACTTGTCAACGCGACGCTAAGTGGTGGTCGGGTGAAGTGAAAATTCTGTCACTCACACAATGGAAATTCTAATGCCGTTTATTTATGCTCTGTGTGATTTCGTCACGCTTTCGACTAACTTGTAACGAGCAGAGAAAATTAGCTTCAACTGAACGGAGGCTTCATACATCGCTGCTGAAGAATGCCCTTTTACTTTATCGATCTCTGTTGTTTAAGGTCTGTTTGCTCTAAAAATTTTCGAAATAACACCTCTATAAAATATATGACTTTGCTTTGGTCTAGTATATTAACTTTAAACCATTCACATATAATTTGTCGCCAATGGCCTGAGTCGCCCAAGCTCCCGATTTCGACTTTAATATTTGGCGACTTCATAACTCTGTTTACGACTCTTGCAGTGACGTAACTTAAAGTAAATTAATAAACGAAATTCAACGTTTGTCATTAAATATGGTTTAATATATAAGATTTATTATATTATTATAAGAAAAATAAAAAAAGTCAAACTTTTAATGCGCCAATGTTTTCATTCCGAATTGCTTCAGGTCCTGTGTCAAATTGATTTCAGTTAAATGTAAGATAATAAATAATTACTTAGAGGAAACTGGTTTATTTTAATTATTTATTACACAAAACTTTACTTAAGAATATGGAATTATTACCAATGCACGATGCACGGTTAGTTTTTCTACTTTGTAGTTAAGCGAAAAATGCAAAATTAAGCAGCCACCTTTGTGTAATAAACCAACATAAAGCAAATTTGACACCGATAAATTACCATTTTATATTTCACATCATATATGTACTACTTGAAATTTCCCGTACTGGCAGTGAAGAATTACGAAAAATAATGAAAATTATAGATAACTTAAATGGAAACAAGTAAGGAAGGTCTAAGTTCGGATATAACCGAACATATTATACTCTCGCAAAGTCAAATGGTATACTCGTTGAGATTTCTTTGTGGATTGGCCGATATTTTCGGTAGAAGGCCAACTATAGGCACTGGGGTCCACTTATTCAGTACCTAGGGGCTTGAACAGTTTTGGTTCGATTTGGAAAATTTTTTGTCACAAAGTGGCATACTTTAAACGTATTATTCACGCAAAGTTTTACGCCGATATAATCATTGTTGCTTGATTTGCATACTGAAAAGTGAAAACATCAGATGGAATTTAAAATGCTGTTATGTGGGAGAGTATAAAAAGTGAAAATATTTGGGGTCAAAAAGTTGCAAATCGGAAGGAAGGAAGAAATCAAAATTTCTACAAGAAGTGTCATCCACTCACAAAATGTTTCAAAACCTGGAAAGTGAATAAAGAGATCTGATGAGCGATTTCGTAAATGAAACATTCTTAAAAAAGGCTAAGAGCTGTTTTATGCTCGTAACAACCACAGCTGCAGGTGTGGATATAAAACGAGTTTAATATTTTGTTCACCTAACGGTTGTTGTTTCCGGGTGACTGTGTCCGTCGTCCGTCGTCCGTTGCAAGCTCTAACTTGAGTAAAAATTGAGATATCTTTATGAAACTTGGTAGACATGTTTCTTGGTACCGTGAGACGGTTGGTATTGCAGATGGGCGTATCGGACCACTGCCACGCCCACAAAACGCCATTAATCAAAAACAAATAACTTGCCATAACTAAGCTCCGCAATAAGATACAAGACTGTTATTGGTACACAGGATCACATTAGGGAGGGGCATCTGCAGTAAAACTTTTTTAAAGTGGGCGTGGTCCCGCCTCTAATAGGTTTAATGTGCATATCTCCTAAACCGCTAATGCTATAATACAAAATTCACTGGAAGCAAATGTTTTTAGCACTTCTATTGATGGTGTGAACATAGTTGAAATCGGGTGGCAATCGCCCACTCCCATATAACGGTACTGTTAAAAACTAAAAGCGCGATAAATCAAACACTAAACACGCCAGAGACATTAAATTTATCTCTGGGATGGTATGAGATGACTTTATAGGAACCGCGTTCAAAATTAGACAGTGGGCGTGGCACAGACCACTTTTAGGTGAAAACCATATCTTGAGATCTGCTTAACCGATTTCAACCAAATCGGGCATAACGTTCTTTATGTTTCTATGTCATAGTGCGAAAATGGGCGAAATCGGACTACAACCACGTCTACTTCCCATATAACACCATTTTAAATTCCATCTGATTCTTTCCCTTTCCACTATGCATATCAAGCAACAATGATTGTATCGGTAAAACTTTGCGTGAATAATGCGTTAAAGTATGCCATCTTGTGACCAAAAATGTCTAAATCGGGTCAAAACTGTTCAAGCCCTAGGTAATGAATATGTGACCCCAGTGCCTATAGCTGACTTTTTACCGAAAATATCGGTCAACATAGAACTAGGCGGCAAGATCCACAAAGAAATCTAAAACGAGTATACCATTTGACTTTGCGAGAGTATAAAATGTTCGGTTACATCCGAACTTAGCCCTTCCTTACTTGTTTTTCTCAAGTTGGTATTTGACGTTTCAGAGAATTTTTTAATATGGAAACATTAAATATCGCGCAGTGATTAGATCTTTGTTTTGAAAGGTTTAGAAGCAAAGAAAATTTATGACAATTGTTAGAAATGTATAAGAAATCCTCACCTTTAAAATGCACCGTGAATTTTGGAATTATGAATTTAAACGTGGTCGTACTAGGCTTGAAGGAACGAAGGACGACCAAAAAGCTCAGCCACACCAGAAATCATTGAGCAAGTTCATAATATTGTTAGTGAAGATCCATGTTTGATTAAGCTTGAAATCGCTGATGCCATAGGCATCTTAGACGAACGAGTACTTCATATCTTACATGGAGAATTTCAAATTAAAAGGCTGTTTGGAGAGTTAGTGCCGCACACGTTAACAATTCAACAAAACCTGGATGGAAAAGAAATTTCTCAGAATAATTTTGAGCATTTTAAGCAGAATAAAAACGATTTCTTGCGTCGTTTTATAACTATGGATAAGACTTGAATCTACTACCATGATTCTAAATTAAACAAAGAACGTTTACAGTGGACTGAAGCTAGTTGTTCAGCTCCAAAGTAGGTGAAGTCACAAGGATCAGCAAAGAAGGTTATGGCACTAGTTTTTTGGGATGTAAAACAATAAACTCTGAATATCATTGCAGCCTTTTGGATCAGTTGGATGAAAAAATTGGTGAGAAAAGACCTAGTTAGCAGCAAAAAAATAATTTTTCATCTATGCACCTGCTTACAAAGAAGTTTTAACAATGACAAAATTCATCGAATTAAAGTACGAATTGCTTGAGCACCCACCGTATTCAGATTTGGCTCCCAGCGACTATTACCTCTTCAGAAACCTGAAGTAATTCCTTCGTGGAAAGCGTTTTTCGTCGAATTACAGCCGTAGACGGGTATTTTGCATAGCTTCCAGAAATCATTATAGGGATTGCAAAATATTATTAGAGGATCATTGGAATAAGTTTATTGAAGTTATTTTTTCATTTTTAGCGCAGAAACTTTTCAACCAACCTGTATTTATGACAGAAAATACATGGAGTCTATTTTACGAAATTAACTCCTCAATTATATACATGCAAGTATATATTTATTGCTTTCTTATAACACCATTTCAACTCATTATCTATTTATTTTTACATTCTCTTTGCAGCAAATAATTAGTTTCATACTTCATAACTCGGTATTACAATAAACCAAAAATAAGTGAAACGAAAAGTGAGCTGAGAAAGAAGGCAAAGCCGCGTTGAGAAACTGAAAGGTAAGTGAATGGAAATTTATACGCATTATGAACAAAAGTTAACGCACGATGTGGATACAGAATATATAATATTACAAACTTTTGAACTTACAAGTAAACTTGAGTAACCAAATCGTGGTTTTGAAGAGTTAAATCTTTTAAAAACCAAAAAAATATTTATTGATTTTTGAAAAATTCCTTCGAAGACATGACAGAAACTCCCAACGGCTCGTTTGGAGCTGTTTTACAATGCTTTTAATGTTTGTTAAGTAATTTTCACCTTTTAGAGTATTATCTTTGTAACGCATAAAAATTGTCTCCGCAATCTTTCATTTGATTTCAATAAATTATTCCATGTACTGTAATAAAAAATACTCGAATATGTTAGATTGCTTTGATTTTAATTTCCGCAGTTGTCTCTAATACCTATTCTAATAGATAATTTTATCATAACCCTAAATATAAATTAGTACTATATTTTAGTGAAATACTTTATATGTACAGTAAAAACTATTGTCTCCTAAAATATATAGTTCTCAGAGCTAAGTCGCTTTAATCGCAATATTATAGGTATGCGGCCTCCATGATCGTAAGCTTCTTTTTCTCGAGTTTCTTCAGCTGTTTTTTCGCCTGTTTAACCTTTAGGTGTTGGACTTCAATTTTTAACTTATTCATATATTCCGCTTCTCGCCTTATTTCGTTCACCATTTGAAAATCGATAATTCCTGAATGTTTAGCATTATATTTAAATAAATGTTTTGTAAGGCACAATTTGCTCTGAATTAAATTGGTGGCGTTCACAGTAAACTTTTTCAGAGATTGTCTATAGGAATGAATACGACACTCCAGTGAACATTTTACTTTTTTCTTTCCTTCTGTTTTTATCGTCATATTTTCGATTTGAGTAAAGCACTTTGAAAGCTAAGGAACTACTGATAACTGGGACTCAAAATCCTTTCAATTTATATGCTCGACACGCTCAGTTAGGATGTGTTAAATATCTACCTGCAGGTGTTTACTTAGTTCGGTATAACAATATATTTTATGTTAAAATCGAGATACCTGTCCGCTGGAAATGTTTTGTCTTTGGGAGGCTTTATAATACACAGGTAGTAATCATTTTTTACCAGTGTGGGTTGATTCTTCTGGAAGAATATACATGTATTTTTATATATAATTGTATAACTTTTAAAAACACCATTTTGAATGAATTTGGTTGAGAGGTCAAATATAAATGTATGTATTATATACATATATAATATTATATATTAGGTGCACCGGGGGGACCCGATGTTCTGCAACAATTTTTTCAGACTTTTTTTTCAATACTGTACTATGATCAACCCTGTGCCCGGTTTCCTCTTTACGGCCCTGATTAGGTGTAGGCATATAGAGAGCTGAATTAACGCTCAAAATAAAACACCTATATATAGTTTTCAAAACTTAAGAATCTTCTAGAAAGACTTGTGAAGTTTAGGTGTGATGACTTTACTAAAATTTACCAGTATAGACCCCATTCAATCGATAAAACTACGATACGATTGTAAAGAGTTTAGAGTAAAAGATTGAGAATATCCATACCTAATATCTTTTTACATTCTATATATATTATATATATATTTTACAATTTTTCTTCGATCAAAGCGAAAAAGCAGCCAAAGCGGCTGAAAACATTAATTTAGTTTATGGGCCCGATACTGTAAACGAACGTGTAGCACAAAAGTGATTTGCTAGGTTCCGTTCCGGTAATTTCGATGTCAAAGATGCACCACGCGTCGGGAGGCCTGTCGTCGAAAATTGCGATAAAATCATGGAAATAGTGGAAACAGACCGTCACGTGAGCACTTATTTAATTGCTGAGGAACTAAAGATAAGCCAGAAAACCGTTTGGAACCATTTGCATAAGCTTGGATTCAAAAATAAGCTCGATGTTTGGGTGTCACACGAACTATCACAAAAAACATGATGGACCGAATTTCCAAAACCGAATGGACCGAATCGCAACAAAATCGACCCGTTTCTGAAGCGGATTGTGACTGGCGATAAAAACTGGGTCACTTATGACAACATCGAGCGCAAACGGTCGTGGTCAAAGCTCGGCGAAGCGGCCCAGATGGTGGCCAAGACCTGATTGACGGCCAGGAAGGTTTTGCTATGTGTTTGGTGGGATTGGCAAGGAATCATCTACTACGAGCTATGACTATGGCCAAACGCTCAATTCGGCCCTCTACTGCCAACAACTGGACCGCTTGAAGGCAGCACTCATCCAGAAGAGGCGATCTTTGATCAAAGAGAGAAACTCCTGGAGCTCGGATGGGAGGTTCTAATGCACCCACCTTATAGTCCGGACCTGGCACCAAGTGATTACCATCTTTTCCTGTCCATGGCGAACGCGCTTAATGGTGAGAAGTTGGCCCCAAGAGAGGCCTGTGAAAATTGGCTCTCCGAGTTTTTTGGCAATAGGGACGCAGTCTTCTACGAGAGGGGTATAATGAAGTTGGCATCTCGTTGACAACAAGTTTACGAACAAAACTGCGCGTATCGGATAAATGTACACAAAGTTATCATCGTTTGAAAAATCAATAAAAAACCGAACGAACTTTTTACTTTACCAATATATTTTAAGATTAATTGATTTTTTCTGTCAAAATCAGCCATTTTATGCAACAAATTTGATTGAAATTGGTCGAGTAGTTGCTGAGATAAAGAATTTCAGCTAAAACTAACCGATGTCACGCCCATTGTAATTTTTTTATATCGACTCACCCTTATATCTTTCCATACCACCTTTACCATAAAATTTAATGCTTTTGACGTGATTCTTTAACGAGTTAGCAAACTTGCCTTCTCATTCTCACGTGGTATCAAGATGTGTCCGCAATAAGTTCGGTTCATATGGCTTTCATAGTTTGTGAGACATTCACATACATATACCATATACATGGACACACGTAAGGTCGGACAGAGATCCAAAATTCAACTTCTCTTTTTATCTATCACTTGATATACATAATTCATTTTATATATTATATATCTTGATTAGTTAAAGATGTTACAAATAAAAGTTAGAGGAACAAAACAACCATACTGTGAGCAACATACTGTGTATGTATAAATGCCCTTGTGCATAAACAACCTTACTTATTTAAGTATCGCAAATATTTGTATATTCTTCCGTTATAAGCCATATATATTTATATAAGATATAAGCATACACGAATTGTCGTACATGCATATGTAGATATATTTATATAGTACTTATATATTTACATATATGTATTTTATATAGTGCACTACTTTTCTCACTACGATGCGAGCGAAATGAAGTGTGGGTGTCGAGTCGTTACAAAAATAAAAACAATCATATCTTCCACAAAATATGAATAAATTGTAGCTTACTATATCAATTATGAGTATATATATATATAACGGTGCGATATGACTAATCAAAGCACTTCGGTAATGTTTCGTCAAGAGCTCACGGCGCCAAAAGGCCAGAAAGAGCTAACTAAAAGGGAAAGCAACTATCTGAGGCAAGCGGTCAAATAGTCAGGGATACTCGGGTTGATAAATACTTTGACTGACAGACAGTCGTAATAACTGTTTGCCAGCAGCTATTTTTGTTCCGAATGTGCGATTACGGGCGGGCATTTTTTAAGAGTATCTGTGCACTGTAAGGCACAGTCGGCGCACGGTTCGAAGGCGAGGGTCATCGGGCATTTATTTTGTATTTTTCACTGTTTTCAGCTGTTATATTGATCTTGTTCTTCTCACAAGCTCCGCTGGTAACGATTTCATCATTAATTATGAACAAAAATGAAAGTATTTATAGCCAAGGCTATTGTTTTTGTTATTGGTTATTTCTCATTTCAATTATAACTAAGTCTCCTTTGTATGTAGTTAAGTTAACCGTGGATGAAGTAAGTGATATTGTGGTGCTGATGAGGCCGCACAAATTGCCGTTTTAAGCCATTAGCGTTTATATCGTTCTTCTTTCCTCTTACACAGATCGATTTTGGCGTCTATTTGGATTGACATTGAGATGCTTATCTCGTAAACGTTTATTAATAGCGTATTTAATTATATTTATTTTTATACCCTACACAGGGTATATTAAGTTTGCACCCTGTAAAATATATATCCAAATGATCAGCGTGACGTGCCGAGTCGATTAAGCCATGTCAGTCTGTCTGTCCATATGTCTATATATACGCGAATTAGTCCTATAGTTTTTGAGATATCGATCTGAAATTTTGTTCACGTCCTTTTCTCCGCAAGAAGTTGCTCATTTGTCGGAACCGCCCGTATTGGACCACTATAGCATATAGCTGCCATACAAACTGAACGATCGAAATGAAGTTTGTGTATGAAAATGTCTTAGTTGTCAAGATATCTAAGAAAAGCCGAACACGTTGCTTAGATCGGATTAATCCAGCATATAGCTGGGATATAAACTGACCGATCAAAATGAAGTTCTGGAAACTTCTATTTGTGAATGGTATTTTAGCTTCAGCACTACCGAAATTAACGTTTTTTCTTCTTTAAATTTAACATTGCCAGGAGTCTTAAAAATGGAGACTCAATCTCCCGCTAGCAATCTCCCTCAAAAATTTAGTTATTTATCAGCCGTCCTTTGTAATCTCTTACCTTTTCCAGAAATATATTTACTGTAAACTCTCTAGAAGTACTAAAAACCATAAGTTCCAACGAAGTATTTCTTTAGCTTTTTAGAATTATACTTAAAAAAGATGGCATTATTATAAGTCCTTATATAATATTACATAGCTTCTGTTTTCTAACGAACAAAATAAAAGTTATATCGTTTTATCACTCTGTATAAGGGGCTAGTGTTTACTGAATCCGGAACGAATATCTGGTGCCCTAAACAAACTCATTGTAGAGTAAGAAATTATAATATATAAAAGTATATTTTTCTGAATGTAATTAGGTATTAGAGGAAGCTATTGTTAACTAAAAGCCCCAAAAACAAGCTCATTGAAAATCCTCTGTTTGCCAGTTAC